AAAAAAAAAAGATCAACAAGCGAATCAGATATCTCATTTAGCTGTCAACCCTAATTCAATCTTGAGAATGACCAGGAAATCCCAGGTCACATACTCTCTAATCACAAAACTTTAGTTACTCCTTTTTCGATACCATTATATAAGTTCCAACCAGCTGATATTGGTACGAACCGAGCTGTCTTTAACAGCATAATTCCATTTGCAAGACCAAGAAATTCTATAATGCATATTCATTTACAAAGACGGCAACTTGACAAAAGATTATGCAACACTGTCACATCCCCTCATAGAACTCGAGCTTACATTACCAGAATCGTGCAAAAATAGTAACTTTACACGGCCCAAATCACTGATTAAGACACTTTGAGACCAAGTAGTTCAGCACTTCATGCTCAAAGGACCATAGTTGCATGCTTAAAGGACTAAATACTTGGCCTTTCTTACATTTACAAACAAAGATTCACAATTGAGCCTGCAATAACAAGACTTTTTTATCACATTTAAAACACAGAAATGGAGAAAACATCAAAATTTACGCCACCCGAATTGCGCAAAATTCAAAATTTGACGGCACCAAAATGACAGCACAAAAACATGCCCTCCCAATCAGGACTGCAATTAAGCGAATACAAAACACACTTACGAAGCGGAGACACCAATCGAGCTTTCGGCGGGCGGCCTCTGCGGCGCGGACCCTCCGCCGGCTGTGGCGTTCGTGCAGGCGGCGGCTTGTAGAAATCCGGCCGCGATCGTTTCCTCGAGGTACGGCGAGGCCAGTACCATTCAGGGGAAACAGACTTCTTTCTATAATCTCCAGGGTTCTGGTCTCCTGTAGTATCAACATCAGCGGCGGCGGAATTTCGGGGCGGCTGGGGCAGGAAGCCCGGCGGGGCATCAGGCGGCGAGAAGTTATCGGGAGTGAAGGAGGCGGTGTCCTCCCTTTTCATCATTTTCAACTGGAGCAGATTTGAAGATGAACCAGAAGGGCATTAGAGAGAGAGAGAGAGAGAGAGAGAGAGAGAGAGAGAGAGTCACCGTTGATGACAATGTGTGGACCACAATGTAGCTTGAGATATGTTTGAATTACAGATATTCAGGAAAATTACATTTATATTGGAACGGCTCAACAAGCACTCGAGCTCGATTCATGTTCGCGAGCTCGAAGAACTTTGACTTGAACGACTAATCGAATTCGTTTATTATACAAGCCGAGCCACACTCGTCTGCGAGTAAACCATTTTTTTAGTCTTTTTTATTTTATTTTATTGATTTTACATGAAATATTTGAGTCGAACTTGTTCATAAACAGTTTGTTTTAGGTTTTAGGTTTACTAAACGAGTCTAACCCTAGCTTTCACCATCTTAAAGAAGCCAAATCTCAGAGCTTAAAATGAGCTGGGGTTGATTATTGAAAGGCTTGTTCATTAAACGAGCACGAATTTGACATGAGCTACTTCGCACAGCTTAGCTGCTCGAATAACAATCCTATATCGACTTCATCTTCTACCTGGACTAACTAGAAGTATAACCATGACGAAAAAATAAGCGCGAAAAAAATCGAGTAACAATAATAATCTCTTCGTATAATATACTAGCAACATAAAAATTTGGATACTTGGTAACATAGATGGATCTACATTTCCCTCCAAATTTATTTTTAAATAATCAATAAAAATGTTAGCATAAGGATTTCAAAAATGATTTCAGTTTTTGCCTAACTAACAAATTAAAAGATTAGTTTAATGAGATGAGTATAGAGGGAGAGAGAATTAGAGCATCCCCTTAGGCTATAACCTGAGAAAAACAAGAAAAAAAAAATCGAATAAATAGATCAAACACAATCTATTTCTGTTTATGACTTGTCATGTACAAGGTAAAATGGAGATAGACTTTGAAGTTCAGCACGCTTTCGAGCTGCCCTTCTGAAAGGTTTCTTATTCCTCCACAATAATCTTTCGCTGCTGCTAACTGAAAGCATCTTCTTCGATTTCTGTGAGATAGTCTTTAGTTCGGAGCACCTTGAAGGCGTTTGAGGCTCTTCAAGTTTGCTTCCATTCAATCTGAAAAGAAAACAGCAGGAGAGTTAAAAACGTACATTCATGGCTACAGGTATACATACCATTATCCGTACATTGTTTTTTGCCAAAACATGGCAAAAACTTTGAGTCGAACAGAGTTCGGTAGAAAGTGTTCTGTGAAATGGTACGAAAAAAATTTGAACTTCTAACTTAGAAAAGATTTGGGGTTCTGTCTTCAATTTTTTCTTTCTTTAGATTTTTCTAGCATCTTTCAAATTTCAGGGGTTTTCAAGGTTTTAAGTTTTTTCGATTCCCCAGGGGTTTTACTTATTTTCAACTTTGTGGGGTTTTTTATTCTATATTTTCCGTTCATGCGAATTTCGCAGACAAATAGTATATAACTCAGGATCCTAGATGATAATTTTCAAGAAATAGCTGCAACTTTTCTACAAAAAAATAAAAAATAAAAAATGAATATATAGTAAACTTGCCTCTCGAGTAGATTCGGTTTTGATGAGAATGTCGTTTGATGAGGATCACATGCAGGACAGATGTAAAACTTCGGTGCCGAAGAGATTTTCACGCAATCAAAATGGTACCATTCATCACACTTATCGCAAGCAATCATAGGCCTACGGTCATATGGTCTTCGGCAAATGCAGTAAAGCATACTCCGATCTCGCAATAACTGCCCCAAACAGGAATAATTCATTACCCAGAAAAAAAAAAAGAAAAAAAATCGCATAATTTGTGTACCTTCAGTTCTTTTGCACAAGATACAGGTAAACTCTCGCCTTCCGAAATAAGTTCGAATACTTTATCCAATCCAAGCATTCCACCATCCACAGATACCTATATATATATATAACAGAATAGTTGTTGTAGTTAATATCCAGTTTATTTTTTTTTTTTAGTTCTATTAATTTTAGAAAATAAACTTGGCGAAATTTAAAACCTTCTTTGCTGTTTCGGCCCATTGGATGACCGTATTTTTTGTTTCTGTCAGTTTCTGAGTGAAGTAATCTTCTGAAGGAATGTCCATTGCCAGCCCCTGAAGAGTATTATAATAAGATATAATGATAACAATCCGACTGATCATTAACTGGAGAAAAGCTCTTTTTTTTTTCCTTGTTCTTTGATGTAATTGTAATGTTATCAAGATTATAAAGCAGAGCGATTTGTACTTCTTTCAAATGATTCTGAATTTGCTGAAGTGTGGGCTTCTCT